TCCAACTGGTGATTCATCTAGCCCCACCTTTCTCATGATGTGCTCTGCATATAAATTATATAGGCAGGGCAACAGTATACAGCCTTGCCGAACTCCTTTCTCAATTTTGAACCAATCAGTGGTTCCGTGTCCAGTTCTCACTGTTGCTTCTTGACCTGCATATAGGTTTCTCAAGAGACAAATAAGATGGTCTGGTACTCCCATCTCTTTAAGAACTTGCCACAATTTGTTGTGATCCACACAATCAAAGGCTTTATCATAGTCAATGAAGCAGATGTTTTTCTGGAACTCCCTAGTTTTCTCCATGATCCAGCGTAGGTTGGCAATCTGATCTCTAGTTCCTCTCCCTCTTCGAAACCCTGCCTGTACATCTGGTAGTTCTCGGTCCACATACTGCTGGAACCTAGCTTGTAGGATTTTGAGCATCACTTTGCTAGCATGTGAAATGAGTGCAATGGTGCGGTAGTTTGAACATTCTTTGGCATTGCCCTTCTTTGGGATGGGAATGTAAACTGACCTTTTCCAACCCTGTGGCCACTGCTGAGTTTTCCAAATTTGCTGGCATATTGAGTGTAGCACTTTTACTGAATCGTCTTTTAAGATTTTGAATAGCTCAGCTGGAATACTGTCACCTCCACTAGCTTTGTTGTTGCTCAGACTTCCTAAGGCCCATTTCACATTCCAGAATGTTTGACTCGAGGTCAGTAAACACCCCATCGTGGTTATCAGGGACGTTAACCTCTTTCTTGTATAGTTCTTCTGTGTAATCTTGCCACCTCTTCTTAATCTCTTCTGCCTCTGTTAGGTCCCTGCCATTTTGGTCCTTTATCATGCCCATCTTTGCATCTTTCCCCTCATATCTCCAATTTTCTTAAGAGATCTCTGCCCCCCCCCCCCCATTCTATTGTTTTCTTCTATTTCTTTGCACTGTTCATTCAAGAAGGCCTTCTTATCTCTTCTAGCTATTCTCTGGAATTCTGCATTCAATTGGGTGTATCTTTCTCTTTCCCCTTTGCCTTTCGCTTCCCTTCTTTCCTCAGCTATTTGTAAAGCTTCCTCAGACAGCCATTTTGCTTTCCTGCATTTCTTTTTCTTTGGGTTGGCTTTAGTTGCTACCTCTTGTACAGTGTTGCAAACCTCTGTCCATAGTTCTTCAGGCACTCTGTCTATCAGATCTAATTCCTTAAATCTATTTGTCACCTCTACTATATATTCATCAGGCATATAATGTAGGTCATACCTGAGTGGCCTAGTGCTCAGGCCACTCTTTCTTCCCTACTTTCTTCAATTTAAACCTTAATTTTGCAACCAGAAGCTCATGATCTGAGCCACAGTCAGCTCCTAGTCTAGTTTTTACTGACTGTATAGAGCTTCTCCATCTTTGGCTGCAGAGCACGTAGTCAATCTGATTTCTGTGTTGACCATCTGGTGATGTCCATGTGTAGAGTCGTC